GAATTGACCTAGGGGTCACTGGCATACACGCCCCACTGACTCCAAAGAGCAGAGTTCTCACTGCACAGGAGGGCTGCTCAGTAAGTGCTTGTTGAATGATGATTTAATTATAATGACATTCAATTCATCATTCCGTTTCCCAGGGCAGATCCATTTGGTAGCTCTGAGTTTCTTTTCCACTTTGGTGCTGCCATAATGGCTCTTTTAAGTTGATAAATTCTCTCCCCATTTTATTCTCCTTCAAGCCTTGCAAGGATTCCTTCCAGGGGGAGCACTCCTCTGTGTGAGGGCCTCAGTCTATTTATGGTCTTTCTTTTTTTCACTCCCTTTCTGACGTCACTTCTCTATCTCTGGCAGTTTGTGTTTTGTATACTGAAGACCAGTAATTCCCTTATAGTCTACAGATAGGGTAGAAAGCAGAATGCAGACACTGAAAAATCACAAGAACTTTTTTTTTCATCTTCTTCATTTCTAGATACATTTCACTGTAATTCAAATTAAATCAATAAACAGCCACACAGATCTGCCAGGTATTAGTTAGGCCTAGAGATTTAAATGCGAATCAGGCATCATCTCTGATCACTCACCACAGAAGCCTGGGCTTACAGCCAAATAGGAAAGGCTGATGGATTATTATTTTTTAAAAAAATGCTTAATAAAATGTAAGATTCACTTTCTATTAAACAGTGAGAATAAAGTTCAGTGACACAGCAAAAGGGAGACCTATCAACTTACCATTTTGAGAAGGGCACACTGGTATCGAGAGACACTTTAGAAAACAAATCCCATCTTAGTCTTAAGGAAGAGCAGCTCAAAGCCACCCACAGGTGCCTCAAAGGAAAGGTGTGGTGACCCACTGATGTGAGGCCCAAACCCTACAAGGAGCATAGCTCTACTGCATCAAGATGGGGAGCAGCAATTTTTCTACAATGTTCTTGCTCATCTCATATTGATAAAGAAAGAGACAATGATTACTGAGATTATTAAGATCTGGGCTAGCCTTGAACTGTTCCCCATCTAGCTCAACTTCACAGCCTTTCTGATTTCTCATTATGTCAACTTCTAAGCTTCTTGAGAAAATGTCAACTGTCTTGCATGGCCTTCAGAACTGTCATGAGTCAAAGTCTGTAGGCCTGCAAACAAGTGAAAAATGTCTTTCACTGTTCCAAATGAATGTGATGTTACTCTGTTGAGAACCACTGCATATTTCTGTAAGCTTTATTTCTCTGTGTGCCAGTGGCTGCCTACAGCACGTGTGAGCATGCCTGGAAGAGGTCTGCTCCGACTACTCACTGCTGGATTTCTGCTGTACTCAGATGGTCCCATCAACTACAAATGGCAAATGGCAGCTTTCAGTAGTCATATTCCTGGACCATTAGAAAAAAATTTTAGCCAGAAACTTGGTCCTTGAAACAGGGATGTTGGGATGAGATGTGTGGCCCTCAAATGCTATATGCTAAATGCTAAGCACAGCTCTGGGCCACAAAGAGAGGGCTTACCCACCATGTCTAACTACAAAATCTGCACAGTTAATACAATTAATAAAGTTCTACCGAACACGACTTAATGCAGGAGGGAGGATAGATGTTTGCCTCTATTTGTGTCATGCATTTTCATAGATTACAGGGAAAAACCACTCAAAATAGAAAGAGGACAAGGAGTTCACCTGGTCCCTCAAGGGCACCTCCTTACAGATCCACTAGGCACCAGTGTGTTAGTTTAAAAACCAGTCATTTAGCAGCCTTAGTCAAACCTTACTGTGAATCATTTTAATCACAGCAATTCTCCTCTGAGAAGGGCAGCCTTTCTAGATATATTGTCGCTGGGGAAAGCGATTTCTGATAATCAGTACTGGACTTGTTTTTACAGAGGTGAGAAAAAGTCTGAAAAGGGGTCAGAGGAAGACAAAGGGGCTTTGATGCTTTTCCAAGGACACAGACTAGTGTCTGACCTGGCAGCTTCACACAGCACAGCACAGAATGAAGTGTTTCCAGTTCTGTGCCCTCCCCTGCGAGGGACTGCAGATTGGATTGTTATGGCTCAGAGGGTTTTCACTGACTGATGTCTGAACAAAGATCAAGGGGATTTTTTTCCCCCTATTCTAGTTTGGAAGCTCTGCTAAAACTTGGTCAGCATCACAGTGATACACAAACCTCCACTGACAGAGGAGCAGTGAAAGTGCATGGGGTGTATCATCCATGAAGGAAACCTGGGTCTCCAGTCAGAAAGAAACAAAACCATGATATTACCTTAGAGTCAAGTTCTAATTCATGGCAATTCTATGTGTCAGAATAGAGCTACCTTCTATAGGGTTTTCAGGCTGATGTTTGGAAAGTATTAGGCTTTTATTCTTACTCATCTCTGAGTGGACTAGAACTTCAAATCTTTTGGTCTGTAACTGAGTGTGCTACTTATTTGCACCACACAGAGACTCTGAGCGAGTTTTAGGACACCACAATACACATTATCCTGCTCCCTCACAGCAATCCAAATCAACATGCCAACTGTCTTAGTGGTTTCAACTCTGGTTAGAACCAGCTGCGTAGCTTTTAAACACTCCCGGATCCAGCTGAAGCACTATATCTAGGGACCAAGACTAAGCCATGAGTTTCTTCTTCATTTTGTACAGCTCCTAGATCATAACAGTGGGAAGCTCAGGTGGTGTAGCCCATAGGGAATTCTACTGCTAATTTAAAGGTGGCACTTCTCTGGCAGTTCAAATCCACCAATGGTTCCTTGGGAGACAGCTGGACAGTGTCCATGTGATTTACAGCCTCTGGACACTGCTGGAGGGTTACTAACAACTTAATAGGAACCAATGCTTCTTTTTTGAGACTATAACCAAAGGAACTCTAGTGGCATAAACACTTAAAACACTTCGGTTGTTAACTAAAGATGTCATTAGAACTCACGCAAGGGTTCTGTGGGAGAAAAACCTGAAAATCAGCTTTCATAGACATCACCGTTAAAGAGTTACAGGGCAATTCTCTTCTGACACATGGGGTCACAATAAATTGGAATAAACTCAATGGCAACTAATAACAACAGCAACAGTAGAGGACACACTGACCCAGCCAGGCTGAAAGCCACTCCCCACTGCTGCAAGTGAAAAAGATGTCCTTGCACAGCGAAGGTTTCTAGACAATTCTTTCTGATTCCTCTCTCAACCAGAACGCCACTCCTCATCCTCCATCCACACAGATCTCCTACAGCTAGCAACGGCTTGGGTTGCCTTCCTCTCTAATATCAGAACTAAGATTATCAGGACAAGTGGAGAACACTCCAAAATCTAGACTCTCAATCTAAGCAAAAGTAGCCTAACTCCCCAATTCTTTACTATTCAGAATCTTCTGTGCTTCAGACCCATTCAGTGTTCTCACCCTGAAATCTAAATAGCTGCAATAGCTACTTGAGATCGACTATTTTCTATGAGTTGAATACTCTCTCTAGACACTTAACACATTATCATTAATCTTGGTGATGATACTGCTGTAAAATTCCAGAATACATCTAGGATCCCCTCCGTTGTTCTCCTTTGCACTGCTAACTTCTTATCTCATGCCAACAAAAATTTTTCCCCCTTTTACTTGGACTATTGCAATAGTCTCGTTCCTGGTCATTTGTTTTCACTTTTTCTCCCTTGCTCCCCAATCTACTCATCACTCACTAGTCAGCACAATCTTTAAAAAGCAGAAACAAGCCTGCTTCAAACCTATCAGTGATTTTCAATAGCAACTTAGAGTGACTCCAGACTCCTCCCAAGACCTGGAGACGCCTGCATGATCCAATGCTGAGACTTCCCCACTTTCCTCTTCTATTCTCGCTCTCCCTTCAAGGTACATGGATTACCTCTGATTTGTGGTTAGCTGCTATTTAATTAGGGGGCTTAGTGGTAAGGAGGAGTGCCACAAAGGAACTCAGTTGGAATCCACCAGCTTCCCCCCAGGGGAAACAGATGGGCGTTCCTGATTCACATCAACCTCTTTCACAAAAGGATCATATAATTGTGATCGTAAGTTTTATACTTGCTGATTTGCAGAAGTAGACTACCAGGCTTTCCCCCCTCATCTTAATCTGGAAGCTCCACTGTATCATGTTCAGCATCATAGCAACATGCAAGGCTCCCCAGACAGAGAGGTGGTGACTGTGCAAACACATCTTTGCACAGTCAGGGACAATACCCAGATTTCCCAAATCAGAAGTGTTCTACCACTGAACTACGGCTGCCCCAACTGCGCAGAATGCTGTCCTTCAAGTCTTCAGGGATTAGATGAAATATTATCTCCACAGACAAGTCTTCCCTTTTCACCTTGCATGCCCCAGCCCCTCATTTGCTTTCTATCTCTTTCCTCCATGCCACTTATCATAATTTGCATTACTTATTTTCTTTGTTTTCTTTAGTGGCACCACTGGACTGCACATATTTCTGGATAGGAATAGGACAGTACTTCATTGACTGAAATACCCACAGTTCTTAGCATGATGACCACTTTGAATAAATGCTTGTTGGGTGAACAAAGGAGTCCATTTTACAGGTATCAATAAGCTAATGAAACAGAAATTAAAAAACTAATAACAAGAGAGACTCTTTTTTTTTTTTGCTTTGTATAACACTCTCTTAAAAAGTTATACTATCACTTTGATTCTGAAGAACTTCAATGACTCTAAGCATCTGAAATCATTTATGCTCCACAGATAACCTAAGACACAGTGGTGAGAGTTGAGGTACTAAGTATATGAAGATGGTAGCTTGAGGCTAGGAGGGTTTTATGACAATAGAAATTCTGAAACAGAGAACACATTGTCACAAAACATTTATTTTAAATGCTTTCTATCCTGACCTTGTGTTAAGGCCCTGTGTTTGCTCAACTTGGAACCCACCTGTGTCACTCACTGATTGTTACTTCCTTTGGTCATGAGTCTGCACACAAATATGTCTGCCCACTGCCACCCTTGTAACACACTGCCCTCTGATGGGGGCAGCCAGGGGTCCCTCTCACCTGCACAGTTCTGCTGAGGCTCCCAGTGGACTTTGATGCCCTCTCTCTGGCAAGCCCGGGTGTAGGCCAAGAAGGACTCGCAGTAACAGTTCTTATGGACCGGACACTCACACATATCTGTCACACAGGACCTGCGGGAGCCAACGGAGAGAAATGAATGTTTCTGAGTGTCAAATCATCAGTCATCCTAAATGTAACTGGCAGAAAGGAGTGGTTGAGTGATTGGTTCTTAAAGGTTAAAGATGTTGAGAAAAGTTGCTAGTTTAGGTTGGAGACTGAAACGTCATCCAATTCTGGATGAAGGGTAAATGTTGACTCCTTCTGAATGGCAAGCAAAACAAAGCCGCTTTCTTTCCTCTGGAGAGGCATTCTCCAACAGCATTTCCTCAACAATGGAAGTTTTTCCTAATCTGTACTATAAAAAAATATTAGCCACTATGCATGTTGTTGTTGTTATGTGGCATCGAGTTGCCTGTGGTTCATAGTGACCCCATGTACAATAGCCCTAAACCCTGCTCTATCCCTTGCCAATCTTACTGTCTATGGCATGCCCATCCCCATTACCCCAGTCACTCAAGAAGCATAATTTAGGGAGCTCTGCTGGCCTAGTAGCAAGAAGCTGTGTTGCAATCCCAAAGGCATGCAGTTCAAGGCCACCAGCTGCTCTGAGGGAGAAGGATGGGCAATCTCCTCTTGTGCAATTAACTGGCTCTGAAAACATGCTGGGGGGCAGCTAAGGGTCTGTTCCAACTCTACAGTACAAAACAACAATAACAATCCATAATTTGTCCAGAGAACACTTGATATTTGGCTAATGCAACTCAGGAAATGAATTGTTGTTGTTGTTGTTGTTATGTACCGTCAAGTTGCTTGCGACTCATAGCAACCCTATGTACAACAGCCCTAAACTCTGCTCTGTCCTGCGCCAATCACACTGTCTCTGACACTCCTATCCCGATTACCCCAGGCACTGAATCAATACACCTCATAGAGGGCCTTTCCCTCCTGCGCTGTCCCTCCACCGTCCCAAGCATGATGTCCTTCTCCAAGGACTGGTCTCTCCTTACAACATGTCCAAAGTATGTTAGACAGAGCCTCAGAATCCTTGCCTCCAAGGAGCCACCTGGTTTAACCCTTTCCAGGATGAATCTGTTTTCTTAGCAGTCCATGGTACTCTCAATACTCTTCTCCAGCATCATAGCTCAAAAGCATCAATTCTCCTTCTATCCTCCTTGTTCACTGTCCAACTCTCTGATGTTTAACAAGTGATTGCAAAGACGATAGCCTGTATCAGACGCACCTTAGTCTCCAGAGAAACACCAATGTTCTTCAGTGCTTTGGAGAGGTACCTAACAGCAGACTTTCCCATGGCAATACACCTTTTAATTTCCTGGCTGCTGGTGCCAAGAGTGCTGACTGTGGAGCCAAGCAAACTAAAGCTGTGAACAATCTCAATCTCTTCACCATCCATCCTGATGCTACCAGTTGGCCAAGTGGTGACAATCTTTGTCTTCTTGACATTGAGCCTCAATACATATTGGAGGCTGCAGCCCAGGAAATGAATATTTTCTTTTAATTTCATTAACTTAAATATAAATAGTCATACATAGCTGGAAGCCACCTAATGGAGTGACAGCTCTTAGAATCTAGTCACAATTCAAGCTATCTGCTTTTTGTCTGATAAAATTAGAACTATTGCAAGAATACAGGTTCTACCACAATATAATCAAGGTGGTGAACTACTTGATTGAAACACAGACCTTTTACTTTCTGGAAGTTAGACTTAAGATTAATTTTTATAATATATAGATCTTAGTCTTTTGAGGAACAAGTTCTAAGATTAAACAAACAGGTCTAGCTATTTAACATGAAATGGGAAAATAGAATCTAAGTTTGACTATGGGCATGACTGACGAGGACATGAAGAGGACTGAAATGCAAATGAACTAATTTTCAAACGCACTGCTGTCTAAGATTTTATGATGTCCTTGCAGTGGTATCAAGCATTTCAGTTTATTAAGTGTATTCACATGCAGGCTATCACTGATGAAAAAGAAGGCATAGTGCAATCTCTGTTTTATAAATGGAAGAGTCATTTTAGAAATTAAAAAAAAATGAGCCCAAATCACACTGTTATTAGCAGCGGTGGAACTGCTCCCTGACTCACAATGACTCCATGTGCAATGGAGGGAAACACTGCCCCGTCCTTCATCAGCCCCATGGTCACCTAACAGGTCACACGGTCATGATCCATAAGGCTTTCACTGGCTGATTTAATTGGAGATACGTTACAGGCCTACCTTCCTAGTCTATATTAGTCTAGAATATCTGTAGCTGCACTCAAACCTGTCCAGCATACTAGCAATAAACACACTTCCACTGAGAAATGGTCCACTGTTGTGTATGTGGTGAATCAGCAAGGACTCTAACCTGGATCTTCTACACAGAGGGCTATCATTGAAATATAATGTCCCTCCAAGTTGTAGGGGTACATGGCAATAGAAAGAATGAAATCACATCTCCTAACTCTGAGACTGTTGTTGTTCTGTACTGTCAAGTTGTATCAACTCGTAGCTGGGCATTCAATGAGTTTTCAGAGGCAATCAATCACATGGGAGGAGATTGTCTCCCTTTCTCTTGAGAAGCCGCTGATGGATTTGAATTACAAGTCTATGGGCTGGCAGTGCAACACCTTACCTATGAAGCCACCAACCATAGCTCCCACTGAGATTGGTGCTCTTAAAATTCACCCATAACACTGTTGTCATCTCTCAGTAAATTAATTGTCTGACCACTCCCAAGTAGTTGTTTACATAAAATACTTTAAAGGATAGAGAGATACGATTTTAAGTAGAAGTTGAAACTTGAAGAATTATAAAAATGGATGCTTTGTATATGACACCACCTGATTAGTAAATGAAATCATGTTTAGTTTTTTCTACCCTTTGTGGTAGAATGATGGGCAGTCTTCTTCCATGTGTGATTAACTGCCTCTAAAAACCCGCCAGAGGGTCAGCTATGGATGGATTCTGACTTGATGGCACACAGTGATGACAACCTTGATCAACAGACTACTTTCCTTACAGAATCTAATTCAAAGCATAAAATGAGGAGGGCAGAAGTATTCAAGATTACAAAGAAGACATTTTGAAATGTAGTAAGGGTATAGTCCTAAAATGTTAGCATACAGAATGTTGAATGACTCAGGAAGCATCAAAAGAAGTTGGACGAAGTACACAGTAGCACTATACCAGAAAGAATTGACTGACACAGAAGAATTTCATGAAACAACATATGATAAAAAAGCCACTCTGAGGAATTGGCCAAAGACAACAAGGCCCCAGAATTAATGGCATACAAATTGACATATTTTAACAAACAGATGCTGCCCTGGACACGTTCTTTAGGTTGTGCCAAGAAATTTGGAGGACAGCCACCTGGCCAACTGACTTGAAGAGATTGATATATGTTCCCATTCCAAAAATAGGTGACCTGACAAGAGTGTGGAAATTAGCACACAGTATCATTAATATCACATACAAGTAAGATCCTCGTGAAAATTATGTAAGAACAACTGGAACAGCCCATCAGCAGAGAACTATCAAATGTACAGGCTGGGTTTGGAAGAGGCAATGGTACTAGGGATTGTATAGCCAATGTCAGATGGGCCTTAACTGAAAGCAGAGTACCACAGGAATATCTATCTGTGTTTCACTGACTATGCAAAGGTATTTGACTGTGTGAATCACAACAATCTGTGGCTAACTCTGAGAAGAAGGGAATCCCAGAATGATTGTGCTTATACAAAACCTATACTTAGAACAGGAGGCAGTCGTTAAAACAGAGCAAGAAAACACAGTATGTCAGGAAAGGAGTATGCCAGGGATGTATCTTATCTCCATACCTTTTCAATTCATATGTGTAACAGATAATGTGGGAGGCTGGGCTCCATGAAGAGGAAATGTGGCATCAGGATTGTAGGAAAACTCATCAACAACCTATGTTATGTAAACTGACACAACCTTGCTTACTGAAACTGAGAAGGACCTGAGGCATTTGCTGCAGAAGGTCAAGGACTGAAGCCTTCAATATAGATTGAAGCCCAACATCAAGAAAACAAAGAATCTCACCACTGGGCCAAGTGGCAGCATCATGACAGATGGAGAAGTAAGAGTTTAAACAGGTTCAGCTTACTTGGATCCACAATACATTCTTGACATCAGCAGTTAGAAAATCAAAGGACAAATTGCACTGAGAAAATTTGTTGGCAGGGACCTCTCCAGAGCATTGAAGAGCAATTATGTCAGTCGGAAGGCTAAGTTGTGCCTTGGTCTAGGCCGCCGTCTTCGCAATTATTTGCTATGCACGAGAGAGCTGGACAATGACTAAAGATAATAGAAGAAGAAATTATGTCGTTGAATTATTCTGCTAGAGAAAAGAATTGAATATCCCATGGACTACCAAGAGGACAAACAGGTTTTTCCTGGAGAGGGTGAAACCAGGCTGTTACTTGGAGACAAGGATTTTGAAGCTTCATCTGATATACTCTGGGCATGCTGCAAAGAGGGACCAGTCCTAGGAGAGGGATGTCAAGCTTGGAAAGGTGGAGGGACAGTGTAGGAGAAGAAGACCCAGGATGACGTGGATTGAATCAGTGACCGGAGTAAAGGGAGTAGGTGTGTTAGAGACAATGCTGTTGGCTCAAGATAGAGCATAGTACACGGGATCACTAGGAGTTGCAAGCGACTCGATGGCACATAACAACAACAACAACAATATGGGATATATTGTACCTTTGACTGCACAGGGTGGTCAGCTAGCTCTGGGTGGATGCTGGCACAGTGACTGCTCTAAGTGAGAATTAAATGGCAAAAACCATATTAAAGGATCAATAGACTCAGAATGGAGCTGCAAAGTTATTACAGTCCAATCCTCAAGGGGAGAGCATTTGGAAAACATGAACTAACAGGAACAAAAAAGAACAGATCTGAAGCCTCAGGGGCCTCTTCCATTTCACTGAGACATTATTTGATGCATGATACTTAAGACATAATAACTAGGACAGAAAAGCTGATCTCTCTCCGCTCTGTAATAAGCAAGACAATATTTCTTAATAACTTCTTTCATTTTC